CGAGTCTTTGCGTAGTTTATTTATAGGAGAATGTCATGATGCAACTGGCCATTTTGGCTATAAGAAGACAACAACAAACTTAGTTCAGAGATTCTAGTGGCCCTCTATGATAGAAGATGCAAAACGATATGTTGAAACCTGCCAGGTTTGCCAAAGGGACAAACCGAGGACTCAGGCTCCGCTTGGGCTCATCAAGCCTTTGCCCATTCCTGGAGGTCCTGGTCAAAGTGTGTCCATGGACTTCATGGATACCCTTGTGACCAGTAAGTCTGGAAAGAGACACATCTTCGTAATAGTGGACCGTTTTACTAAGTATGCAAGACTAATCGTTATGCCAGAAACAGCTAAAGCTGACCACGTCATCGAACTGTTTATGGAGAATTGGGTTCGTGACTTCGGTTTCCCTACGTCTATCGTTAGTGATAGGGATGTCAGGTTCGCAAGTGAACTGTGGCAGTCAACTGCTGAGCAAATGGGCACAAATCTCCAGATGACGTCAGGGAATCATCCTGAGTCAAATGGCCAAGCAGAACAGATGAACCGGGTAGTGCAGCACCTGCTTAGGCATTATATTAATCCAAGCCAGGACAACTGGGACGAGAAGTTACCTCTCGTCGCCAGCCTGTACGACAACGCTGTGCATAGCACCACCGGTATGACTTCCAACCAGTTACATCTTGGTTGGAAGCCCAGATCTGCGCTTGACTTTCTGTTACCAGAAAGACAACCTACTGCAGCACCTGGCAGCATAGAGTTTGCTGTCAAGTATGAGTAGATGCTGCAGCAGGCTGTTGAACATATTCAGAAGTCTCAAGATGCTATGATTGCATCTGAGAACAAACATAGACGGCCTTCTAACTTTCAGGTACGTGAGAGAGTTTGGGTGAAATCATCTGAACTGGGACAAGAGATAGGGATCTCAAGAAAACTGATGCCTCAGTACTTTGGGCCCTGGGAGATCTTAGACATTGTAGGGGATCAACCGGATGGGCCTACATACGTGATTCGCATCCCAGCACACTTACGGACTTATCCTGTTTTCCATGCCTCCAAGCTGGCACCTTTTGCTGCCACAGACCTGTTTCCCTCTCGGAGATCTATGCTGCCCCCAACCATGGATGGCGAAGTGGACATTGACCAGATCGTCGAGCATCGAATGATGCCTGTTCCTCGACCATCAGGCAGAGGGCGACCTCCTAAACCAAGAATGCAGTATCGGGTGAGCTTCAGACATCACCTCGATGCCAAGGAAGATCGCTGGTTCACACGAGAAGAACTCATGAGAACAGCACCTCAAGTGATTGCAGGCTATGAAAGAGAACGGAAAGGGAAGATGCCTGCAGAATAAGAAGACTTCTCAGTGGACTCACGAAGTTGAGGAGGAGGGAATGCGAGGATCAGGGTTAGGTCTATGGGGCCCTGTCTGCAGCCTTACCCGCCCTAAGTGAAGGCGGAGGTGCCCGCCCTAAGTGAAGGCGGGCCTGGCTTTTTGCAAACGGCCTTCGACTGTCAATTTCATATTTGGGGTTCAGGCAGCTGCGACGCGCCAGTCGGTTGAAAGAAACACTGGCCGAGCAACAAAGACATTTTCACGGCCTACCGGGCCTTTCCAAAGAATGCAGGCCCTGGCCGTGATTCGCAGCCTCATACAGAGACAGTTGGGCGCCCAACCGAACGAGGCCCAGCAGCCCAGTAGCTGCTGCATCCAGGYAGCCTCCTGGGGCCTTCCGGAAGCTTCTGGGCCCAGGCCAAGGCCAGCCAGGCTGCGTGAGCAGGCCAACTCTTTCCATAAAGGAAAGAGCTCGGCCCTGGCTGCCTCATTCAGGCACTCGCATGCTGGGCGGCAGCGCTGTCGGGGCAAAAACCCTGACAAGGGTATTTGCCGGTGTTTTTGAACGTCGGGCGTTGTCCGACTCTTGTGTTGAATTGAAGGACTTGATGAGACTGACGTTTGCCAAAATGTTTGTTCAGACTTGACCTATGACTGAGAAACTAAGAGTTTTCAGACTTTGGTCCGGACGCATGTGACGTCCGGAGGTATCGGGTGTGAATGACAAAAGCTACGTTTTTGTCGAAGCCGCAGGAACGTGCGGATAGAGAAATGCTAAAATTAAACCTATTCCATCTATAAGCCACGCGATTCAGGGCTTAAGTGGGCTAAAAAGAGGGTTGCGCAGGGTATAGGGCCGCGACGCAGGCCGTGGGGTTTGACGTCGAGCTTTGGGGCCGACAGGCCAATGCCCAGACTTACCCGGCTCGATGGCCGACCAAGCCGCGGCCGCACGGCTAACCGGTATGGGTAGGCCACAAGCTGAGTAAGCCGGCAGTTCACAGGCTGGGCAAGCCGATAGGCCACAACCGGGGCAGGCCTACTAGGCCACAGGCAGCCGGCACCTGAAAGGCCGCAGGCAGGGAAGGTACCTGGGCAAGCTCTTCATATTGAAGAGTTGCTCCTGTTCAGCGTGAAACAGGAGCTAGCCTAGTAGGTACCGGTACATGACTCTCACCCTGCTGATATGGGGATCGAATCTCACTCGTGGTCCGGGCTAGCTCCTTTTTGAGCTGCTCGTTTCTTTTAGAGGTGCGGTCTACCTCGACCGCCCGATCTGGAAGATCGCGCGGTCCAGATCGGCCGCGCACAGATCAGCATGGCCCCTGAGGAATAGTAACACGCATAAATCGAAGTAAAAATAAATAAGTAAAAATAAAAAAATAAAAATAAAAATAAAATAAAAACAAATAAAGAACAAAAGCGCCACATGGCGCCCGAAGATGTGCCCAAGGGCACATAGCTGTAACCGTTGGCATAAGCCAACGTTTTTTTTTTTATTACCAAAAAAAAAAAAAAAAAAAAAAAAAAAAAGTAACGCGCCAGTTGGCGCTGTGGGAGGGAGTTGGGGACTTACAGTCCCCAGGAGAAATAGCAAGCGCCCGTTGAAAACGGGCAGCTGTTTTAGTAAGGTAAGTTTCTTTTTTATTTATTTATTTTTCTTTTTTTTCCTTAGATTTCGTTCTAGATTCTTTTTAGATTTTTTTCTCTTTTTCTTTTCTTAGATTTTGTTTTGTTTTCTCCGTCTGGGTAACCGTTCGTTTTTGACGAACGGGCGAAACTGGGGCAGACTGTTTCGTTGGAGTTTCACCAACTGAGCCTCAACAGTCAGCCTCTGCGCCTGTATCCGGCGCCAATGGTGACTAGGAACGGAAAAGAGAGAGAGAGAGAGAGAGAGAGAGAGAGAGGAGGAGACGCCTACCTGCCTACCTACCTATCTACCTACCTACCTACACGCCACATCAAAGTTGAATGAATCTTCCGCAGAAACGCGGAAGAATACAGTCATAAGCAGTGGCCAAGGCCACTGTTGTTGCTGCGGCCGCTAGGACAACGGTTGCAGGTAAGTTTTTAGTTTTTCTTTTCTATTTTTTTTTTTTTTTTTCCTTTCCTCGTTCCCCTTTTCCCGTTCATGATTGTTGTGGCACGACCA